GGTGGTTTACCCTTAACTAATTTTTTTAATACAACGCTATATTATACACTAAAGAGGGGGGATGGGGAGTTCGGCTAAGCCACAAAATAGACAATCTAATTTGGTATTGAATTCATCATCTACTAGATTCGAACCTAAGATCTCTTGTCATCCACGAGATTCGAACCTAAAACCTCTCATTTACAAGTGAAGAAGAATACCACAATATCAAAATACCAAGCTTTACCCTTAATTGCTTGAATATTATGATTTTGGCTTCCTAAAATTTAGCTTGCACTTTTTGTGGATTTTATCTACTCCTTAATTCCAGGTTGACTTTTCTAGAATTTAGCATTCAGAACCGAACGTCCTTCAAATTTCTGATCTTCCAAACTTTCTACATACCTAAGACTCACCACTGCATAATCTCTTCCCTTCTTTCATGTTTTGTAAATAAACAAGCCATGAAATCAGCAACTAAGAAACAACTAACAACGCTATTTTATACCTTCGTACTTAAGCCAATAAACCCCACCCCAGCAAACCCAATGGACCCAGTAAGCATAAATTATACATGTTGACAACGAACATAAATTCAATTTGAACATAAATTACCTGTACAGAACCCCGTTACCTCATTCACCCTTATTCAAATTATGATGGCTAAAAACTCAATTGACTCTGGTTCAAACATATTTAACCCGAAACAGATGCAATCGTAATTAACTTTCATATAAAAAATCCATCCCAAACCAACTGTTCGTTCAATTTGTTTTCATTGTATGCAGGGATAAAAAAGATTTGTTATTCAAACCATAGGGAGTCAGATAGCGATTGATGTAATTCGGTTTAAATAAGTCACACACGCTTTAATTGTTGACGTGGGTGTCATACTAGTGAATTCTATTCCAAACAGATTTGTATAAAATTGGACCCGTATTTAAAAAAACTCTAAAATAAAATTTCTAACCACTTGTATTATGACAATTGATGTACCAGATCATATTTCCGACACACTGAAAAATTTCTCTGTGTTTTAGAACGAAGGGTTTTTGTGTAATTATCAGTTTTAAAAAGGTAATTATAGTGCCAAGTGTCGTGCCATATGAATTTCAATGTGAAATAAGGTTTTTTTTTTATTATTATTATTTTTTTTGTGTGTGAGAAAATTCATTGAGTCTGATTGTCTTGTTTGAAAAAGGTGTTTTAGTGGCACCACCATCATTACTTTCAAAAAATACGATGTTATGATACTCTGTGATTCCAATTCCTTCTAATGTAGCTAAAAGAATTATGGAATCACTTGAAAATAAGCTTTCACTGTATGAATTATTTTCATTGTAAGAGTTTTGGACGTCCGTGGAAAAGTCACACTACTAGAAATTTGAGTACAGGCCACTTATTTTGGGGCCACGTCCAACTCACGAAACAGTGGCGTTTTTAGGCAATAGCCAGAATGCTGTAACATGCATCTGTGTCCATTTGTAAGCCACGATTATACCGTGGCCAATGTCTATTTCTCTACAGTGCAAATCTAAACTAATTATGTAGTAAACACGGGTTTATAACATTAGGCTTGATTCCATGAACACATACACCCCAGAATTTTGAGTATCGTCCTAGTACAATCCTAATGTCACATGCAGTATTACTGTTGCCAAATTTGCAACCAAAAGACGTACATGAACCATCTCAATCCCCTTTGGTATATTTACTAATCATGAACGTCCAAATCTTTGGTGCAACTTAGCCTAAGCTAGCCAATTAATTCTCGAATATTGACATTTGATTGGTTTCTCCCTAGCTAGCTAAAGGCCCCAAGTTCCTTTTAACTTAACCATGATTATATGGAGATTAACATGTTTATCTAAGCAAATCATCTATAGAACATGGTTTTTTAGCCAAAATGGTCCATGAGATTTGCATAATACATCACTTTGGTCCCTGAGATTGAAAATTGTCCACCATCAATTATTTTGGTCATTCCGTTAAAAACTCCGTTAATTGTCCCAGAACTCTTGGCCGAAAGTTTGAGCAATTTTCAAAACTTCGTAGCTCAATCGTTTCTTAACCAAATTCGACCCCTAATATATCAAAATGAAGATAGAAAAGTGTAGAACCAGATTATACCTATTTGGAAGCCCAATGGTTGCCGGAGATGGCCTGAAAATAGCTTGAAAGGTGACTGGTCCACAGGAAAACTCACCGGAAACTGGGTAAACTTTAAACGTTCATAACTTCTTCAATACTCAATGAAATCAAGTGATTCAAAAATAAAAATCATACTTTTCGATGAGACGAAGAGAATGGTACATTTCTTGATAGCTAAATCACCATGGTTTGGCTGGAAAATGGATCGAAAGTGGCTGTCTTGGTCTCAAGTTAGCCACTTTTGAACCATTTTCAGGAAAAACCACGGTGAATTAGCCATCTATAAAGGTACCATTCTCTTCGTCTCATTGAGAAATATGATTTTCATTTTTGAATCACTCGATTTCATTGAGTATTGAAGAAGTTATGAATGTTTAAATTTTACCCAGTTTCCGACGAGTTTTCCAGTTTTCCTGCGGACCAGTCACCTTTCAGGCTATTTTCCGACCATCTCTGGCAACCATTGGGCTTCCAAATAGGTATAATCTTGTTCTACATGTTCCTTATCTTCATTTTGATATATTATGTGTCGAATTTGGTTAAGAAACAATTAAGTTACGAAGCTTTGAAAATTGCCCAAACTTTCGGCCAAGAGCTCCGGGACACTTAACGGAGTTTTTAAATGAATGACCAAAATAATGGATGGTGGACAATCTCAGGAACAATTTCTATTGATTTTCAATCTCAAGGACCAAAATGATGTGTTATGGAAATCTCAGGGATCATGTTAGCTAAAAAGCCATAGAACATTGATAAATGAATTTGAATTCTTAATTATAAGAATGATTAAGAGGATTCTCTAAGCATCGAGAGCCACAATCATGTTGTCCTTGATCCACCAAAAACTGGCAGCTAATTTACTAATGACCGCAAATGCACTTGCATTATGTAGAAAATGCGCAATTAACTGTTGTTTGTGACCTTAGATCGTCATCTTTGAACCTAACTCCACAAAAAGTGCATGCGTAAGCTTGTCAACTTCAAAGCTGGGTGTCTCCATTACCTAGATTAATTGCCCCACTTAATTTCATGTGGATAAAAGCCACCGATTGTGTTAATTAATTACCCATAGATAATACGACAACAATTTGGTACTTAGAGTGATTAAAATTGTACCATTACACTAGAAATAAGCTGAGATGTGAAAAAAAAGAGAACATAAGCGTGATAAGGAAGTGATTTACGCACACTTATAATATTCTTTCTCTGTACACCTATTTTTTTGCATACACACCCTTGTTTATTTATGATATTTAGATTGAAATTAAAAGAAAAATTAATACACCAAAAAAATAAAAAAAAAACCAGAATGTACAAAGAAAAAAAAAAGAAAACTAACGAAAAGTCCAAACAAACTTCTCTTTTGATGAAAAATCATTTTTAAAGGTATAGTGAATAGTACTAGAAAAATGTATAAATGTGATTTTTTGTTAAAAGTAAACAGTATCAAAAGTGTTTTGTTAAAACTCCTAAAAAAAATGCAAAAATTTTGTCGACATATATTAACAACTAAAAATCATTTTGAGAGTATAAAATGTGAACAACTGTTTTTAGCATATCTAGAAAAGTATCATTTGAGAAGAAAGTGGTATGTATTCATAAGGCAAACAAAAGCCACTTATTAAAGGCAAGGCTTTTAAAAAGGTCTTGAGTGGAATGAGTGTCTCTTTGACTGCATCGAGGGACACTCTTGAGGCCCTATTATTGTCTTCTCCAATTTTATTTTTGGAACGAGACCTCTCCATCTTTCACTATTTGCGACGTCTGACCCATGAGCATGGGACAATTTATAGCCACGATTTCAGATTTGTTTATGATTCTAGCGAATAGCTTTTTTCATTTTTTAACTTACAAGTCACTAATGTTAATAGTAGCACTACATGAGTCATCTTCATCATTGGAAACCATAAGTTGGAGTACTCTTCTCACAGAGTCAATGTACCTAATTTCTGCAAAACCTTCGAATTCCAACTAACTTCCTTTTTTTAACTAACAATATGATATTCACAAAGCTATATTTACAACATGTAGACTCACGTGTAACAATTAGATACTAGACTCACTACAACCAGAGTGAAAGAAGTTGAAGTTTCATTTTAAACCAATTGACGATATGGGTAGTGATGACTCAACTTCTTACAAATTGTTGCATGGTTTTTCATTTTTCAATGTTTGACTCTTTGTACCTTTATATCCTCACAAAGAATTCTTCACAAAACGATTTTTATAACATGTAATTAACAATTAGGTATCAGACTCACTATAACAAGAGTTCTAACTAATTTATTTCGGATCCATTAACTTTAGGTGCTAGTGCTAGTCAATTAATAACCCTTTTGTTCCATAAAAGAAAAGGCTGATGATGATGTATTGTATGGAAAATTGAGAAATCAGGCCAACAATAATAACAAGACAGCAAAGGGATCAAAATTAATAATATTATTAATTCAACCAGTGATGGACTCATGGAAATGGCGATAGAAGTTTCTCTAGAGCTGGAAACGAGTGGCTGAGCTTAGTTGAGTAACCTTGTACTAGTTAATTAGCATTTAGGTTTGGCAAACTTATAAATATTAAATAAGATTGGTCAGTAGTCCTAGAAATGATTAGAACGACACTGGAGAGAGGGGATTTAAAATTTGAACACACAACTTCATTTGCATCCGGTTGCTGGAGTAAAAGCTTTTAAACACTTGCGAGTGACAACTTTCACGTCCCTTTCATTGGTTAAGAGATTTCAGGAGAATGCTATGGATGGATACAAACTAGTTGCCAATTAAGGATTGAAAACTGAATAAATTAAAATTCTCAAAAAGTTTAACCCTACTGTACCTGCAGATCACAGCTAATTAATACATAATTAAGCAGCTAGCTAGCACAATCCTATTCTATCTTATTAATCCATCTGACATAATTGTTGATCTGTTAGGCTAAGCCCATATGGCCATTACTGACATGCCTCCTGCCCCAAAAAGAACTGCAATATAAGACAACATTTGGAGCTTCACATTTGCTTGCAATTTAGTCCCCATGAAATCAGCTGCTAGGAGATCCACCAGCGCCATATAGTTGAGCAGCCCTGCAGATGCAGCATTTAGCAACCCGACCACAATCAGAGCCGTCGGACTGTTGTCACTGTATATATGTGACAGTGCAATCCCTAGTGCTATCCCAAATGGTGTCGTGGCTGAGAAGAAGAACACCATTGTTGCTTTCATCTTCATACCATATTCAGCCTGCAAGCCACGTTAATTTGAAGCATGTTTTAGGATTAATTATACAATTTATACTTTAATTGGCTACTTAAAGATGAGTAGGAACTACTAATCAAAATTTCTCAAAATTGTTCGTTGTCTATTTATAGAATTTCGTGTTTATAATTAGAAACGTTTATATTATAAATTACCCTATAAAGATCGCCTCTGCAAGAAATCAATTAAAACTAAGGTCGTTTAGTAATCAAACTATTTAAAAACAAATGAACGGTATTGGTAAAAGCATTACAAACTGTCTATGTATTTGCTACAATACATTAACTAAACGACCTTAGATTAAATTTATTTTTTGGATAGATGATCTTTACAATATGATTCATAGTATCAATGATTTTGATCATAAACACAAAGCTCTGTGATTAAAACACTAAGAGTTTTGAATGGAAATTCCTATTCATCTTTGAGTAGTCAAATATTGTTCATTAATAAATACAAGGCTGGTAGATTAGTTGGTGAATAATGAATTAATAATCACCTGTAGTATGCATCCGCCAAGACCCATCCCTTCAAATAGTTGATGGAAGCAAAGGGCAGCAATGAGTGGTCTGATTGTGCATGGATTATCAGATGCCCCCATTGATAATCCAATCACTACCGAGTGCACTACAATTCCTAGTTCCAATACCTGCATGCATCAACACTCCAACTCAGTTAAAAATGATTCAAACCCTAACTTAGTTTCAAGGTAATGCTCGATTAATAGCTTTAATTTAGTTGAATACGCTAAGCAAGTTTAAATGGTTAAGAGTATTCGAGCACGCGTAACAAACTACACAAAATCATAAGATTAATACCTGTGCCACAACACGATATCTCAACAACTGTGAATCCTTATCGTCGAGTCCCTCTTCAGTCTTAATGTCATGACCATGCCCAAAAGGCTCTATTTGAGAAGAGCTATTTTTGGCGTTCTCCTCATCTTCGCCGCGAGCTGCACCGCGAACTAAATATTTCCTATAGTGACTCATCGAAAACGAGTCCACCATGAGAGTAAGAACGGCTGAAAGCATTGCCACGAACGTTGTGAACGGAAACTTGCTCCACGGATGTTCGGGCAAGCACTCGGATGTCAAGCAATCGAACGAGTCGGGCAAAACGTGCATGAACCCGGTGGCAAGTATGACACCAGAGGCGAACGCTTTGACAATGACGAACATGTTTTTGCCGGGTTGGAGAGCCGAAACCTTGCGTGAAAACATCGGCAAGCAGACACCAATCATGCTCGTGACCAAAATGGCAAATAAAGCAATGATCTTCAGGATCAAGGCCTTGGATTTGTCGTGGCATTGTCCTTTGGATTTGGACCCGCATTGTTGTGGTTCCTCGGCGGCTGCATTGACGGCAATGCTGATGAGGAGGAGGATGACGGCGAGGGCGTGGAGTTTGGCAGCCATTGAAGTACTTGCTTAGTAATGGGATATCTATGTTGGTGTGTGAAGCTGAGTTTGTTGGAATTAGGGTTTTATAGATTCAAACCTAGGTCAAATGCCAGGAGTACCCTTGATGCGAGATTTGTTTTAGATGGTTTGGAGTGGTGAATTTTGAGATGAAGAAGGGTAGTTTGGAGAGCATGGACTGGGGACGAAGAAAAATTGTGACGGGCGTGTGGTGAGCTTTTGGCATGCGCGGAGTTTAACTGAGAGTTCTGTGCTACGTCATCAGTTGGACTCGTCCTAGTCAGCTGCTTGGATGTCGTGGCATATTGCTGAAAGAGACTTAATTTTTTTTTTTTTGAAGCAAAAAGAGACTTAATTAACTTTAATGAATTTTAGTAAAATTAATTAACGAAGTTAATTAATGTTTTTATTAAAGTTAAATGATTAAAAAGGAATAAAAATATATACTTGTTTAGCTTAATTCAAAATCTCTCAGAAAAAATAAATATATACTTGTTTAGCCTAATTCAAATTGGGAATTAGCCATTTTTTTAAATGCTTACAGAAATTCTTTTTAATTGTATTTATAATTCTTTTTTAGAAATATTTATGCTTTTTTTGTTGTTGGATAATTTTTTGAAAAAGACTCCTATCAAAGATAAACTCCAACCTCTTTTATCCAGCCTGTTTTCAAATCCCCCTTTTGATAAGATGATCTAACAAAATTCGCCCATTTAAAGAGATCATTTCTAGATTCTCTTTGTGAGGATTCTAGGGATTAATTTATCTTAGTCATTCATCATACATCTTGCGGTCAACTTTTGATAGGTACCTTTTGTGTTCAATTTTAAATAAAAAATTTAAAATAATTTATGACCATAAAATGACTGATGAACGAATAGGATGAACTGCTTTATAGGATCCTCATAAAAAAGATCCGAAATTAAACTGGGCCCAATAGGACCAGTAGGCCCAATAGACCCAATTAGCCCACAGGAATGCATTTTTATAACGGTCACCAGAACAGAAACATCAACAGCAACAGCAGCAGTAGAAATTTTTAATTGCGACAGAAATACAGGTGATATGTATTTTTATGTAAATAATAAAAAAATTTATTTTTTAAATTGTTAACTTTTTAACGCACAAATCCCACAATTTGTATAATAATATACTACTTCGTGTGCCGATCATACTGAAATATCTCTCAAGCGGCAGAGACGACACTGTTTCCTTATCCCCTTCTCTCCACCTGCATCTTCTTTCACTTCTCTCTCTCTGAAACTTCCCTCCCTCCTTTTTCTTCTCTCTTCCTCACATTCGATGCTATTGCTCACAAATTCTCTCTCTTTCCTGCATGGCAAGAGGTCCCTGTCTTTCCCGCGCACAACGAGGCCACCGCCGCCGCCCTTCTTATTCCTCAACCCAGACTCCCGCCGTTTTCGACTCCCTCAAAAGTCTTTTTTTTTTCTCCACTCTCATTTATTTCCACTTAAATTATGTCACTTTTATTTTCTTTTTCGTATTATTTTTGTTTTTAAGGCCGTTGGAGGAGTAAGATTCGACGGCCCGGAGATCGAAGTCGGCGAGGTGTCGGAAACGGAGGACGGTGACTTGGTGATCGAGACCGGCGTCACGTGGACGCTGACTCCGGCGTTGACTCTTCCTCAAGGACTTGAAAAGATCAGAGAGGCCGTTGAGGAGTTGAAGCTCAATCCTCCTTCCACTTGTACCGGAATTCATAGGTTTCAAGTAATTAAAAATCTCCGGTTTCATACTGGTTTATCACACAATGTGCGTTGAATTGTGGATTTTGATGGCGAATTTCACAGATGGCTGTGCCGCTGAGTGCCAAAGCCTGAACTGGTTTTGCATGCAGTTATCCTCTGTTTTTCATGGGCAAGGATGTCGAAAACCCGAGTTATAAATCGCTGTACGTGAATGAAACCCGAGGAGTTTTCGGAATTGGTGCCGCGGTTCACTTTGCACCTTCATCATCTTCTTCTTCGTTCAAAAGGTTAGTTCTTGTCTTTCTTTTTGCCCTCGTTGATTTTGACGGGACACCCACACAAGTAGCTCATGTTGTAGCATCACTTGTGGAAGAAGGATTTACTGCAGTAAAGCTGAGGGCACTATTCTCATCTCTCTGAACTCATATTGTTACCATTACAAAGATTCTTGTCAATACGACTTTGTTATTACGCATCAAAGAAAGCGAAGGCTTTGGTTTGCGGCTTTCCAATGATTTTTGCAGCAGGTAGCTATACAGGCAGTGAGAAAGAAAGTCGGATACCAAATTCAAGTTCGCGCTGACGCCAATCGGAACTGGACATATGAAGAAGCTATCCAGTTTGGATCCTCGGTAAAGGATTGCGATCTGCAGTATTTAGAGGTATTCACTCTGCAAAATTGGTTAACATTTCTACTCTACATTACCACTCCCTCCCGAGGGATGGAATCTCTTTCAGATCAAATTTTATGTGGTTGGCATACTTTAACGATTTAAATTTTCTCCTCATCTTTATTTGTTAGGATTAGTGATACTTGTCAATGTATCTTAATGCCATCGTTGACCCTGAGACTATCTTTTTGTTGCAGGAACCTGTTCAAAATGAAGGCGATATTATCAGATTCTGTGAAGAAAGTGGGTTACTTGTGGCACTGGATGAAACTATTGACAGTATTAGAGAACATCCACTTGATAAGCTGGATGAAACTGTGAGTGGCAGTTTATACATTGCTCATTAGTATCTTAATCTCTTGCAATTTGGTGTCTTTGTTACTGAAATTCATGACCATTCGAGGGCGTGTTCCTGATTTAGGTTGTTCATGTTGGTTCTTTCAGGTTATTAAACCTAGCGTTGTTGGCGGCTTCGAAAATACAGCAATCATTACCCGGTGGGCACAGCAGCACCAAAAAATGGCTGTTGTTAGTGCTGCGTTTGAAAGTGGCCTAGGTTTGTCAGCATATTCAGTTTTGCTGTTATCTCAACCAGAAGAATTCAGAAATCTGTGAAATGATGAATTATTCATTTGCCCCGTCAATAGCTCATGGATTAGGAACTTACCACTGGCTAAAAGAAGATGTAACGACTAACGACCACTCCTCTCAAGATAGGCTGTAATCCATATAGTGGCTTCGTAGAAGCATCGTTGCAGATCAAGTTCTTGAAAATTTCAAATAAATGGCAACGTAGTTCATAGAAATTTTACTGGAGTGCAAGTCAGCGTATTGTAGCTCACTGTAGATTCTCTTCTCCCATCAAAGTCCACGAGATTGGACAAAGATACGATGTTAGTTAAAATTTCATATACTTGAGACTCTCTCTCTCTCTCTCTCAAGTTGCATTGGTTTCCTGTGTCAGCCTCAATTCATACTCGATCGTGAAAGCTTGATGAAGTCTTCATTGATGCTAGACGTGGACTATGAGATAGTAAATAATTGGATCACTTGCTCTTACGTTCGTATACCAGTGACAAATCTAAAATTCGAACCTTGAGAAGTTTTAGATTTAAAGGTTCAAGTTATTTAGATAGAAACAGTGTAAAACGTGCAAAAAAATTCAGTTTATTCGCTGAAAACATTTTGTTGAACATTTGGTGAACTTATTGTCGTCAGCCGAACGAAATTGTGTACAAGTCAAAAGATATTGACATATACCAAAGCAATATAACGAGTGCTATTGAGAGAGCTTATCACGTATTATCCATGCAACCTGCGAAAGGTATTTTGTCGAACATTTAGTCTGCACAAAAAGTCCTCAGAAGACTTTCACATATACATTTCTCGAACTTCGAGGGGTTATGAGATCTCAATGTGCATCCACCACGGAGTATACGAACGATGATTGCGACAATCGATGCGAGATGTGCGTTAAGTGTAGTCCATTGTGGAATGTTGAGATCAATGGTTTATCAGCCCGACATCAATGGTTTTGCATACCCATCACAAATTCAAAATCACCTTCTAATGAAATTTTCTTTAGTAAGGAAAATTAAAATCACTCTCAACCTTGTTACTCAAGAGTTAATTTTGATTACTCGACGCATTTGCATTTGTGACGAACACATTTGGGACGTCCATCAGTATAAATCTCGGCAGTCATTCAGAACTTGGCAACGAATATTGCCAGCTTGCTGTCTGTCTAAGCAACTGCATTTTCCGTCGCTACAAATGACCTTGTCGCCAACGCACTTGAATTTTCCTTCGCACTCACGGCTAGTTGAACATCGGCCTGTTTCTGGTGACTGGGCGATTTCAGGTGGCGGTGCAGAGCCGCCCAGAAACTCTAAGCACGTGCATTTGTTGTCGAGGCAAATAACTGTGCCTGAAGATGAGCATTCAGTTTCGTTGCGTTGGAAAATTAGGTTTCAGTTCGCCGGAAACAGCTGCATGTGGCAATGCATGGCCAATGGGCCAACTCTATCTTTCTAAGCTAAATTTAATTCCCCGAATCCATATGTGACATCCGATTGACGAAATCCAATCGTTTGAACATATTTTCGTTAGAGACCGCTACTTAATCATTATAACAATCGACGATCCAACCGTTAAATCATTACCAAATTTTGATATGTTATTATACGTAATATTTGAGGACCTTAGGAACTTATGGATTGGAAATCCGGTGGGTGGATCATTTTTAACGATCTAATAGGATCAATTTTTAGCAAAATGTTCTTAATTGTTCTTGAATACTAAAACTAGTATTACTAGAGACAAAGTAGGGCTTAGTGAGCTTATAGCGGTTAGTGAGCTATCCCAGCTAATATATACCTTAGTTTACATGTATAGGAGGCCTTATTGTGATATAGATGCGTATTTATCTTTTTGATAATATGAATGACATGTATGGTAACTATTATGAGCCTAAAATCCTATTAGAAGTATTCCGTGGAACTCTATGCTTGTGTGACATGTTAGTTAGTGATCATGAGAAATTGATAGTGCAGGCGATTACGTTGTAAATCATAGGCGTTGAGATAGGGATAAGGAGGTTGTATGTTGATCTAACTGCACCATGTAGCAGTGGC